ACATTTACATTATTGTAAAAGACAGCTTAAAAATAAGCCTACAAATATTATTCCATCTGACTATCCATTACAGAAAAAATATTGTGTAATTTGTAAAATTAGAATGAAATAAAACCTGGGAGTATAAAATTTGCAATGACAAGTTGGAATAATATTTAATTTTACACATACACCATGTTCCCTATATTTATTAGATCAGCATATAAATGCTTTCGATGGCTTTTGGGATAGGGTCCTATCCCAAAAGATTGGATTGCTATGATAAAACTCAAGAGGAACTTCATCAAAATATTAGGTTTCTTCTTGCTCTTTTATCGATTTTGAAGACATTCAGTGTTTGGTAATGTCAATGTTGTGCCATACTGTTGATGACTGTCTTTACTGTGTTCCATGGTATATCCAATGCCTTGGAAATATGTTTGTACCATTCTTCTGATACCTTTTAATAATGTGATCCCTTTGATACTTTGTAAGCTCTTTGCAGACCATGGTTTTTGTTGTAAGAGGCAACTGAATAAATGTCAGAAAAATCCTAGAAGAACCACTGAAGTTTATATGGGCCTGATCAAATTCTCTTTAATTGATGACAGGTGTGTATTGACTGCTATTTAACTTCAGTTGAATGAAATTGGTTAATTCTGAGCACAGCTACATCCCTACTCATAAGAGGGGTGGGCAATCACGTTACATTATCACATTATTGTAACTTTTCCCCTGTAAAAGATTTTAGTTTGTTTTTCAATTGTATTGTACAACTTACATGTTATATTAAAGGTGGAAAAAATTCTGAAATTATTCATCATGGTCTGATTTTTTTTTTTTACCTCTCAGAAATCTTGCATTTTAATGGGGGGGGGGTGTCATAGACTTTTTATATACATTGTATATAGAAGCAAGTAGAGATGCGTTTTGTGGAAAGGCAAAATAATAAATGGTATAAATGAAAACAAAATTAGAATTTTTCTCTTAGCAGTTACTGATCCCCAAAATGCTTAAAATCTGTAAAGACTTGATTTTACCTCCATAAATATAAATATAAAAAGAAAAGAAAAAATAGAATAAAGGTTGGAGGTTGGGGGAAAATATACAGAGGCTGTAATTCTCCCTATTCATAGCATCATTCAGGGATACCTGGGAAAGACAGCCTTGCCAAAAAGTCAAACAAAACCATTCATTTTGAAAGTCTTGTAACCAGGAATATATTGAGAAATTCCATGAGATAATGAGGTTGAAGCTTTCAAACCAGTGTTAAAAATATCCTGTAAAAGGAAAAGGAAGCTCCTTCTGGGATTAGTTTTCTTTATATATAGACTGTATTCTCCTGGGATAACTGAACGTTTCTGGAGCAACTTTTCAGTATTTAGGTGAGGGTTTTTTCCCTTGATATTTATTTATTTATTTACAGATTAAGAGAGTTGGGAGGGACCTTGTAGGTCATCTAGAGCAACCCCTTGCCCAAGCAGGTCCCACATCATTTTTGACAGATAGCAGTCCAGTCTTTTCTTGAAAGCTTCCAGTGATGAAGCCCGTACAACTTCTGAAGGTAAGCTGTTCCATTGGTTGATTATTCTCACTGTCGGAAAATTTCTCCTCATTTCCAGATTAAATCTCCCCTTGTTCAGTTTCCATCCATTATTGTCTGGCCTTCATGTGCTTTGGAAAATAGCTTGACCCACTCCTCTCTGTGGCAGCTCCTCAAATATTGGAAGACTGCTATCATGTCTCCCCTGGTCCTTCTCTTCACTAGACTAGCCATGCCCAGATCCTGCAACTGTTCATTGTATGTTTTAGCCTCCAGTTCATTAATCATCTTGGTTGCTCTTCTGTGCACTCTTTCTAAAGCAGGGGTGTCAAACTTGCTGCATCATTAGGATTTAATTCCCCTTCCCTAAACCAGGCATGGTAGGCGTCACCAACATGGGACGCATCTGGCCCACGAGTTTGACAACTCTAGATTCTCAACATCTTTTTTATAGTGTGGTGACCACAGGTGGGCTCCACAACTGGTTCGCCGAAAATGTGAGTGCACGTACGTGGCTGCAAAAACATGGGGATTTCCTGTGTGTAGCAGCTGTGATGAGTAGAGCGGGCAAGGCATGGAAAGCAGTTGGGCTGCATGGGCGGGGCGAGCGAGCCAGATATGTAGGATGAGATAGCACCGGAGGGGGAGGGTAGACCCAGTCAGTATGGGTGAGCCAGTCAGAACTGGCAGCAGCCCATCACTGGTGGTGACCAAAGCAGGATGCAAGTGTGTGTGTGTGTGTGTGTGGGTGTGTGTGTGTGTACATATATGTATGTATGGTGATGACCAAAACTGGACGCAGTGTGTATGTGTACATATATATGTATATGTGTGTGTGTGTGTGTGTGTGTATAATCCTTAGCTAAATACTGAAAGTTGCTTTAGAAATGTTCAATTGTCCCAGGAGGATATAAGCATGCTTCTATCTTCATTTAAATCAAGGTGAGTGTGACTATGTCTCTGCAAGTGATACCTGGTCAACGTTATCTGAAATTTAAGCTGGCTTAGGCCTGATGAAACCTAATACTTGAACATGTGACCAACAAAAAATACAAGGGCTAGAGGCTAAATAGAGAAGTAAAATATCTTAGAACATTAAGTCATTTCTATACCATTCCCAAGATACTACATGGATATGAAATTAAAGTTGATTCAAAGGAAATATTACCTAGCCTAATCATGCGACTTAAAAATATATATTTCACACATAGCTAAAAAAAGCTGCTACTCTCTTAAGCAGCTACAGACTCTGTGATCCATCCAGGTCATATTGTGCAGACAAATACAGATTTTTATTCAACTTTCCACTGACCATATAGAAAAATCTGCAACAAATATTTATGTTATCAGTATTTTTGTTAGTTTCATTTCAGTGTGTCAAGTTTATAACTAAGAGAAGTCATTTGTAACTGAACTTGAAATTATGCTATTCCTATTTGAGATTTTAATAACTATAGGGCTACAAATACTCACAGTATACCTTTAAAGCTATACTTTAAAATAAGTATTTTGCAATTATATGATTTCTTATCATTGAAGACATTCTAAATAAAAATGTATGTAAAACATCAGATGTTTCTTATTCTTAAAATGTACTTGTAAAGGTTGAAGATTAACTTTTAGGCTATTATTAAATAACTATTAATTCTGGTGCAGTTTAATTGCTATTATTTAACACTCATTTTGGAAGTTTCTTTCATTTGTTAATAGTGCCACAGCATGGTGTTTTTTGATGTTCATGTGTATGTTTACATTCTATTTTGAACAGATTTTTAAAATTAACTTTGCTAATGCAAAAGTATCTTTTAAAGAAGCAAACAGAAAATACTGCATAGTGGCCTTTTGTAGGGCCAAAGCAGGACAATGACAGAAAGCTTGGCTAATTTACTAGCTTTTTATACAGAAAGGGAAGTTCTCATTCCAAATACTGCTTACTATAGGAGGACTAGAGCCATCATTCACTGATTCCCAATCCAGTGTACACGCAGAGAAGGCGGGCTTTCGGTAACAATAGTCTGGTGGAGCCTGAAGCTTCAATAGCCTGCAAAACCTTCTTCCTTGCAGAGCTACATACAGTATCCTACACAGGCCAGTGAGAACTGAGTTCGGATACAGACATAACAAAAAGCAAAAGTTTTGTAGATCATCTAATCCAAGGGTGAACAAAGGGGAGAGAAGAAAAATATTAAAAAGAAAATGGGTGGGTGGGTGGGGGCAGAGATTCAGCCTTTTTCCATTTGCGACCATTAAAATGATTAAATATCAAAAAGTCAGAGGGGAAAAAATCAATTATACCACCTTCCCTCTTTGTGAACATCCTTCCAGCATGCTGCATTACACTACTGTGGCAGTCAGAGCTATTCCTATAACATCCTTACTATTTTTTACAATGCTGACATATGTATTCCTGAAGACTGCATACATTATCTCTGGTGGGAAAATTGTTAACAACAGAGTCTAGACACAAAGAAAAAGCTGCCATTTGGTGTAATAAATAATTACAACAGCCTATAACTATACCTCAAGCAGAACAGTAACACATACCAGCAAGTCCCCCTTACATCAGACTGCTTTGACAAAGCACACTGCATGCCCACAGAGTCTCCGCCACACCCATCTTCTTGCTGCAGAATCTCCACAATACAAATCTTAATACACTTCCAGCAAATCATCTACAAACCACGAACACCCTACCTAAATCCCAACATTCCCTTTAAGAAAGGTCTCTTCTCCTTCTCAAAAGCATCCTTCCCAGGTGACTACCAGAACAGGGTTATGATGACCCACCTCCAAACTTCTACTAGTTCCTTCCATGTTTTCACAAGCTTAAACCTCATCCCTCATAAACGTCTTGAACCCCAAAACCTTTTTATACCAGGCAAAAAACCATGCTTCCCCGCCTGTTCTTTTTTGGTTGTTTTTTGTCCCCTTTCGATCGCTTATCTTTCTCCACTTCTCAAAACCCTTTTTCTAAATCACACTGCTACCAATCCGCCCTCTTCATTTCAGAAACTGCTTTGCCCAGTTCGGCTGACAGCGACAAATCCCCCTGTCCCAAGCACACAAAAGAAAAACGGTACTTCCAAAGACCACCTCCCCGATACTCACATCCCCGGCCGTTTTCTTTAAAAAACCGTTCATTCCTACCGCCCGTATTTCAGGGCCTTGTAAAGCCAAGCCAACTTACTTACTGGGTTGGGTGGGTCCCCGCCCTGTACACACACACACACACTCACACACGCAATTTTTGGCCTCAAGCGCCTTTTACACGACCGTCCCTTCATCACAAAGCCCACCAGCCACGCCCCTCGGACACCTTCCGGGATATGCGCTCCTTCACCAGATTTCCACAAGCTGGCGCTCCTCCAGATACGTTGGATTGCCTTTCTCAGCGTGCCCGGCTAGCAGGCCGGGCTGGACGGTGCTGGGCGATGCCGAAAGGGGCACCGGCGTCCGGAAGCCGCCTCTGTCCACTCACCGGGAGAGACTGGGGCGGCGCCCTTCTTGGCGACCGGGGGCTCCTCTCGCTTGGGGGGCAGCGGGGCGCTCCGGGGAGGGATGGCGGGTGCGCGGGGCTCTTCCCAGTGCGGAGGTGGCAGCGGGGCGCTGCGGGGAGGCTCCCTCTCCTTCTCCCCCTTAGGGGCGTCCTCGAAGGCGGCAGCAGTGACTGGGCTGGTAGTGGTAGAGACGACGGGAGAGACCCAAGCGGGCTGGGGGAATGGGGGCGGGCTGGGTGGCTGCTCCCCAGAGGCGCCCCGGTCCACCAGCGGCGGGGCGGAGGAGGGCGCCGGAGGGGCCGTAGGCGCAGCGGCGGGCTTCCTCTCCCTCACTTCCAGCTGCTCGTCATCCAGGTCTTCCTCGTCTTCCTCGTCGTCGTCCTCCTCCTCCTCCTCGTTCTCCGGGTCCCTCACAAACTGGTACTGGAAAAGAGGCTGCTGCGGTTGCCGCCGGTCCTGCTCTGGAGCGGCCGTGGTAGAAGAAACCAGGGGGGATTGGTCCGGATCATCCATGCTGGTCTCCGGGCTCTTGTCTCAGGAACAATGAGCCAGATAACAACCGCCCGAGCGATAAAAAAGCAGAAGGGGGAGAAAAGGGTTGGTGCTTGGCGCGCGGGGTGGGGCGGAGGCGAAGGAGGGAGGGAGGGAGCCAGGCAAGGCGGGCGGCTGCGCAGCCACCGCCGCTGGGAGAGATGCTGCGATGCCGCGGGAGAGCCAAGCCCGCCGATGCCGCTGCCACCTCCACGCCCTACTGAGTCATGGAAGGCGGTTGCTGGCGCGCGCGTAAAGTTGCAAGTTGTGAGCAAGGCGCGGAGAAGGCGGTTCCCTTCGCTCCGCCCTCTCTTCCGCCAGCCTATCGGAGCAGAGAAAAGATAACCAGTGGGCCAATGGAAAGCGGGGAGAGCTGCAGTTCCCGGAGGAAGAAGCCCTGCCCTCTTTTCTTCTCGACTGTGTTCTTCGGTAAAGAAAAACGTTGGGCTGGGCTAGACGAAGCAGTGTTGCTCGTAGGGTACCGCGGTAAAGAGAAAGACGGAAGTTCGGCGCCAGGCTCGGAAGGCCTCTATGAGCTCACAGTTGCACGCGGAGGGGGCTGCAGGCAGGAAGACTTGAGAGATTCTGCATGTGCAACCCAGGGCCAGCTGTAGTCATTTGCAATTTTGCCTTCACTGCTGAGTGCTTCACGGGGTGCCATAAAGCTAAAAGAGCTGGCAGATAATATGTGCAGCTTAAACACTTAACACCGCAGAATCCTGCTTGAACAAAAAAAAAACTCAGAAGTAACGCCTTGTGTATCCTAGTGTACAGGTAGTCCTTGATTTAACCACCACGGTTGAACCCAAAATATATGTTGCGAAGTGAGATGTTTATTGAGTTTTGGCCCATTTTACGACTCTTGTAGCCACAGTTGTTAAGTGAATCTGGCTTCCCCATTGACTGCTTGTCATAAGGCCGCAAAAGGTAATCCCAGGACATTGCAACGGTCATAAATATGAGTTAGTTGCCAAGCCTCTGAATTTGGATCATGTGACCATGGAGATGCTGCAATAATCAAAAGTGAAAAATGGTCATGTCTCTTTTTTCAGTGCCTTGTAACTTCGAATGGTCACTAAATGAAGTTATAAGTTGAGGATTACCTGTAGTCACTTTGTGATGAAGGCTGCATGCTGTTAGGCAGATATATTGTTAAAATTTAGAACAGAACAGAATAGAATATTCTTCTAGAGTAGAATAGAATTCTTTATTGGCCAAGTGTGATTGGACACACAAGGAATTTGTCTTGGTGCAAATGCTCTTAGTGTACATAAAAGATACATTCGTCAAGAATCATAAGATACAATACTTAATAATACTCAAAGGGTACAATAAACAATCAAATCATACTTGGAAACAGTCAATAAAAATAAGGATACAAGTAACAAAGTTACAATCATACAGTCATAAGTGGGAGGAGATGGGTGAAAGGAAGGATGGGAAGATTAATAGTAATAGTAATGCAGACTTAGTAAATAGTTTGACAGTGTTGGGGGAATTATTTGTTTAGCAAAGTGATTGTGTTTGGGAAAAAACTGGTTTTGTGTCTAGTTGTTTGGTATACAGTGCTCTATATGGTCATTTTGAGGGTAAGAGTTGAAACAGTTTATATCCAGGGTGTGAGGGGTCCGTAAATATTTTCACAGTCCTGTTTTTGATTAGTGTAGCATACAGGTCCTTGATGGAATGCAGGTTGGTTAGTAATTGTTTTTTCTGCAGTCCTAATTACTCTCTGAAGTCTGTGTCTGTCTTGTTGGGTTGCAGAACCAAACCAGACAGTTATAAAGGTGCAGATGACAGACTCAATAATTCCTCTGTAGAACTGTATTAGCAGCTCCTTGGGCAGTTTGAGGAACTGCCCAAGGAATAAACATGAGAGTGGCAGACGATGTTTAGGGCCAGATGCCATTAATATCTGGCATATTTCTCCATAATATCTGAAATTAATAGCACAGATACTCTGAGCCAATGTCTGGATACAGTGATAAGTTGCTGATAAATCAAACCTGACAGGATAAAAACCTTATGAGTGGATGCACCCAACCTATGGGAACTGAGAAATCTGTTCTAAATGAGCTTTCTATAATCCCACTGAAGTACATTATAGGTACATATTTTAAAATACTCTTAACAGTCATTGTCGCTGGCAGTCAATTAACCCTTGAGCCTATGACTATTACGAGCTTTAGCTGGTTGTGTACACTTTTTTAAGCAGATTGACTACAGTTGAGTTTGTGGGTAAATGTAGGTTTGAATTACTGTGATTCTATTTGTTCCTGGTTTTAATGCTTCATGCTTCTAGATACCTGCACAATAACTTCATTACTATAATTGAAAAATTTCAGTGATTTCAACTATTTGGGGGATTGTCACTTCATGGCTACCATAGACTGGCTTCTTAGTGATACTTCTCACTTTTTGACCTATTTTCTCCCCCTCCCCGAAAATACATTATTCAGATGCCTACTGAAATTTCATTTTTTCACTCAGGCCATTTTAGTACAAATGAGGGAGGCATCCTTTATAATCTTTCTCCCGTGCATTTTAAATATATGTATCTTCTACTAAACATTAACTGCTTTAATTTATGTTTTAAAATGGGTAAACTGAGATCCTGTGGAAAAAGTATATAAATATTTGAATATATAAATAAGAATGAAAGTTTGAATGAAGAAGCCTGAAGTCAAGTATTAACCAGTGGCTTAAAATAATCAGTGCTAAACACATTCATAAATGGTAGTATGCTCCTGTCATATAAGATGAATAAAAATAAATGTCCTCTCAAGTTGGAGAAAAAGTTAGATATAAAACATGTAGATTAGTAATTATAGGTAATAGAATTTCCTAAAATATGTGAAATGAAACATGTTGATGTTTCAATTTATTTAATTAAATTTACCTATTCTGAAAATTCAAACTTGGATCTTTCATAAAGAATTTATCTTGCTATTATGTTCCAGATTGTAAACAGTGTTCATGGTATACTATACTGGCTATTTGAATGCATTGCTGATCTGCCTGAGCCTAATGCTCTTAGAAAATCTGCTCCATCATGTTAATGAGTCAGAAGCATTGCTAAGCAATGCTTTATTTTACTGGCTTTCCAGGTGCAAGAAATGCTTAAATTACTATTTCTGCATTGCGTAGAGTTGGATTTGAAAGCATAGATTGTCATATTCTTTGAAACCTGATTTCCATTTTGGTAGGAGCTTGTAAGCTAAGTATGGTCTGTGCCAAAACAATCCCAAAAGTTTTTGAGAGACTTCGAGTTCTTTTTTAGCGGGACATGGATTCAGTGACACAAACATTGTATTGTCATAGGAAGTAAAGAGGAGAAAGAGGGCAGGGAATTAAATTAACATTCTCCTCCTGAATCTCTCAGATTTTTTTAAAGCTTCAACATTTTGATCTTCTGTAAGTAAATAGGACCTTTAGTCTGTCCGTAGCTCATAATAATTTCTAGAGAAATGTGCTATGAAGATGATCTTTGTTGTGTTGCAGATTAGGATAGCTGTTTCTTTAACAATGTCGTTGATACTGAAAATAAATACATTACTACCAGCCAAAATATTCTTCCTTTAAAGTTCCTTGAAAATGTAGCTTCAGAGTGCAGGAACTGGACTGGTTAGCATCTCTGCTACATTTTCTAAACAGTTTGCCAGCTCTCAGCAGGCCAGTGAATGTCTTAACTGTTGTTGCTAATAATGTCCTTTTACAGCTCATTTCCCACTACAATCCTGTATTGTTTCTTACAGGTTCATGGGTGTTTTTTGTTAAAGCAAAAGCAAATATTCAATGGCCTGGATCCTAAGACAAGGAGTTTCTAAAAAAGAAAAAAAAATCGTATCTCCTCTTTCTTGACATGCCCACCAGAGTCCAGTAAAAATCCTATGCTGAGCTTCAGAGGACTCTTGTGAATAATTGGAATGGAACATACAGCAGCGGAAGAATCACCCCACACAGGACTTGGTTCCTAAAATTTTAACTTAAGGAAGATGATGCTCAACTCCCAGTTTTTAGGATAGCTGCTGAGGGAAGGAAGGAAACAAAACAGGATAAAGATTAGACAATGAGGGATAAAGCTGTTGCAGAAAATGAAAGAAAAGCCCTGCTTAGGCTTTGTAAAGGAGTTAAAATCTACAGGCAAGCAGCCTTCCCAAGCAATGGCTAATCTTTGCATTCAAACTCTGATAAATCAGCTCTGTGGTCTTTTGCTCCTCAATCTGCTCCTTTATGATCAATAACTATTTCTACTCTTCTCATACATACAGTATGGGGAATGTCTTCATTTACCCTGCCCCAGAGTCTTTGGGGACTGTCTCAAGAGGTCCAGAAGGAGGGAATCAAAGAAGTCAAGTTGGTAGTCATAATCATGCAGTCAAAAGCCCCAGCCTTTTTTACATGTGTCAAGATGTAAAATTGGTGCTTTAATTGCATGGCCGTGGCCACTATCCTGATATTTTGGCACCTCTGCAGACCCTTCCCCCTCCCCCAGACACCATTAGGGCATGTAAGAGAGTTATTATGCAATCATAATCAACATTTTAATTATTACCAACACAATATATGAAATACCATCTATTAATTTCAGACTAGGGTGTAGTTAAACATGGCTTTTGATCAGGCAGACTATATCACCCATCAGCTTGTTCACATTAACTCCGTAAATTGGCTTACATCCACTTTAATTTGTTTTAAAACAGATGTATATCTGGTGGTGTTGCTATTCAAATGTGTTGCTTATTGTGCTGGCTATTTCAAAAGTATCTGTAGCTGCAATATCAGAATTTTCCCATATACTGTTGCAACAAAAGCTTACATAAACAGAGGTGGAGTACCTAGAGGAGATCAGAGAGATAAATTCTAACTTTAAAGAATATTAAAAAGATTGTTGAGATAAATGCTAACATTTAAGAACGTATATTTTTATATTTTACTTTAATGATTCTGTGTAGAGTTTTAAAAGACTATAAAATGAACCTTTTTATACAATTGAAATTATGTAACTATTAATTTTTAAAATATAGTATATCAAAAATCACCATTTTTGATACTTCCTCCATTACACGGATGTTCCTTTGGAGAGACAGCTCCTACTTCCAAGCTTTATGTTACTATAGATTAGGACATGTACAATATTTGGGCCTGAAACATCTTTCCCACTTTGGATACATACTTGGATATCTGACATTTGCA